TGAAGGAAATGAAACTAGAGATAGAGGATTAACCTACAGTCTTTGCGCCATTGATCTACGAGTCCCTCAAGGAAAGGGAAAGTTTTTTCGATGCAATATGACGCTGTATGGCAGATATTTATGGATCAGGGTACCTGGATTGTCGAAAGCGTTGGTCTTATGTGAAGTTGAAGTTTTCTCCACAGTTAGATCAAGTAAGGAAGTTTACATTTCACGTTGCAGAATATGAATCATATCTCTCATTCCTATGTCATAAAACTCCTGATCATTTAATCGAATTTTGTAGGAAGGCAGTCACAGTTGAATACCCAATTGTTAGACAGAAATTAAACTTTAAAGAATGCTTTTCCATTATCGGATGATCAACTCCGGGTCTTATAAACTGATTGGTCAGTTTTTCCGTGCTGTAATTGGCAGTAAGACTCGAATGGCGTAAGACGATCGTGATTGGTCGGTTTCGATCCATTGGTAAAGTTAGGTCTTTCTACTCGGTTCGTTTGTAATGTTAATGTCGTGAATAAGTCGTTTGCATGGTGCCGTTAGTAGTTGAGTCTATTTCAAGTTAGTTAACCAGCTTTCCAAAGTCAGTCGTTAAAAGTAGTCAGAGCTGTAGGTTAGACACTGCGCGAAGTCCTAGTCAATAGTGTGGCTCGTAAGTCGATGATGTTCAGCAATGTGACCGTTGACATCACCTTTCCTCGTATAGAAATAAATATGGTACCGGGTGGAAGTACAGAATATCAAGCATGACTCTGATATTTCACAATGTAAAACAATTCGAGACTCTGAGTGTAGCGCCATGATTTATTTGTGAGATTCCTAACCTTGATCCGTTAAAAGCAGCGCCACAGAATACATAAGTCATTTTATTTGAATATCAAACTATAAACTCTTTGATAGCAAGTAATAAGGACATCTGTAAGCTTAAAGTGAGTTTTCGTTCTTTTGGCTAGATCTTGTCTTGTATCAGTCTGCTTCTCAGTCTTCTACAAGGTCAAATTATACCGCTAACAAAGCCGTGGATGGAGATATTCACTCCTGTGCTACAACTCAGTCCCAGCAGGACCCCTGGTGGAGAGTGGACTTAGGAGCATCGCGGGTTGTGGCTAAGGTCATCGTTACATACAAAAATCAAATGGAAGGACTTCAAGTCTGGATTGGTGGGTTCAGGGAATCGTGGAAGAAAATTAAGTAATCATAGAGTTATTGTCATGAGAACGCGCTCTATAGAAGCCCTCCATAGATGTAGCTGTAAAACAGGGAAGAAGTAACATTAAAATGGGGGCCTCGAGAATGTGTGTTTTGCTGACGGTTACTGTATGTCTTTTTAAAGGAGAAGTGAAATTTGAACTTGGTACTTGGGGAGGAAAAATTTTAGAAAAAGGCAATGCCAAGTGGATTGCATTTCAAATAACAACGTGTTCTGTGTTCATGTCCAACAGGTTATGACAGTGACA